CCCGTACCGGCCACCTCAGCGCGTCCCTTCCGGGACCAGCCGCCGGGTACCGACCTGCAGGAAGACGAAATCAAGCAGAGGCTTTGTCATCATCTCGATTTATTGGAAAACAAGCGGGCTGGACGCTCAGCACCTCCTGCTGAGGGGCTGGGCCAGCAGGTTTTGAGTCATCAGGAGCTTCTCCTCCCCAGTGCTTGCGTGGCTTTGGCCTCCTTGCGTGGTGAGAGGAGGCATTTGGGTGCTGCTCCGATTTTTCACTTTTTCACGTGTTGGGGAATAGAAGAGCAGGAATCTGAGGCACAAGCTGGCAGTGCCTTCTGGACCCCACTGATAGAGACCTGGGCGGGAAGGGGACTATTCCCCAGCCAGCCACTCTCCATAGCACACAACGGTCCTCTCACTAGCAGGGACGAGGCCTGGCCCCGATGAACTTCTGCAGCCTGGAGGCCTGGCATGTGGGTGTCGTCGTGTCCCCCGTCTCCCTTTCCCTGTGACAGCTGGCATTCTGCATGTTCCATTGGCTGCTCGAGAGCTGCCCCCTGTCACAGCCCCAGCCCTCCTGCAAAAGCCTCCAAGCCCTGCAAAAGCAGCTGCTGGCCCCAGTCAGCCTTGGCCCAGGAGCAGTTTCCCCACCAACCTCATGCAGCACAGCTGTCTGCCCACAGTAACATCCATTTCTGCTGCTAGCTGGGCTGTGTCCATGCACAACTTGGCAGCCTCTTGAGCTTCCTGCCCATGACGTTGCAGCAACTTGGGGTCTCTCGTGCTACTTCAGAGATACCAGCCAGCAAACTGATGGCCAGAAGCTGCAGCCAGGCAGTTACTGGCCTGCAAGCTCAGGTGAGAGACGGCATGGCATTCATAGCAGCCGGGGCAGCAGTGCTCAGCCCTGGGGCAGCAGGGAGAATCCATATGTGACTGCTGTGAGACTGGGCTGCTGGGGTCCTTAGGAACAATCTCTGCTGTTGATGCTGCCCAGCTCACAGGGAGGTGGAGACCCTCAGAACATTTCCCTGGCAGAACATGGACAACCCCACTCTCCAAATGGAGTAGCATTTAGAGCAAACATGCTAGGATCAGACGCCTCCACTCCTTTCCCCAGTTGTGCTGAACTTCAGAAGGGCTTGGGGCAGGCTCCACCCCACTGTTGCCTCCAGGTGATGACACTGTTCCAGGCTGTCAAAGTGATACGTGCAAATCTGTTCTGCTGCAAACACTGTTTTTGGAAAGGTTTCTGGAAGGATGCAGGCTTT